TATTTCAGATATTTGGACAAAGTGCAAAAAAAAGAGATCCTACACAAGTTTGCTTTTCTCTGCTGTGATCTAACCTACCTCTTCTTGTGTTACTTTTTGGCAGTTGTCACCACTGGGACAAAAAGTAGCACATCCCTCTCCATTTAATGGAACAATATTCCACTCACCTCTCATTGCAATGCTACCTATTCATTTTACATTTTTGGTGGGACAGCAGCTGCTTCTGGTGGCTGACCATTTCTTGTTGAAAAATCTATGATTTTATTACCTGCTTTAGCACTGGGTTCTAAAATTGCTTATTTCAGTTTTAATACTAGTTCTTGTAATTTGTGACAAAACTGCAGTGACACTGTTGTTCAGAATGAAACTGCATGTTATAATATTACAAGCATTAAAAAAATTGAGTTAAAAAAGTTCATTTTCACCGTCAATCATTTATGAAGTGCAAAGAAACTATGAAATATAAGTCCATGCTGACTCAGAGGTCATTTTCTAAGGTAAAAGTTTGCACACTGAACCTGAAGATTTGATTTTCATCAGTATGGTGGAACAGATTTTCTTTAAATATTTGAATACATTTTTTAGGCGATAATGAGAACTTAGCCTTTGTGGAAAATAGTAGCTTCCCAAAAGAAGACAAAGAGTCTGACGTGTTCACGTCCCAGCCCTGGGCTTTGGGAAGATCTTTTATTCAGAAACCTGAATAATCTGTGGTGTTGTAATGTCTCCAGTCTGTGGAAGTTTTAGTCACCTGAAATCCAAGCTTTTTTGTTCCTGACTGTAAATGTTGACAAGGTGTCCATGTCAGAGATGGGTCGTGGCTAACATGGGAGATGCCAGCAGAGACATCTGCAACTTCTTCTGTTTTTTAAGTTTGGTCCCAGGAAAAAGCAGCTTCAAAGCAGAGTGGCTCTTCAGAACTGATACTACAGAAAGCCACAGTTCTTTACCTGTTTTTAATTTTTAATCACCCACAAGAAGGTCAGACTTCTTCAAGGACAGCTGTGCAAGTTGGTGATCGTAACAGTGCCATCATTTCCTCTCCCTCCTCCTCTGCCCCTCTCACTCCACTGCTCTCACTGATGAAGCAACGTTTCTGTGCACATGTGGCAGGAGTAAATGGGCCTTTCCTTTCTTTTAAATAGTTTATTTGGTAAAGTTATCTGTATAAACCAGTGTTTAGTTCAGTTAGTGGTTTCAGTTTTACAGTACTTTTTTTTTTTTCTACAGCTGAACATCTACCAGTAATGCGGAGGGGGAGAACTAAAATTGTTAAGATTTAATCTGATTTGGGTGGTTTTTTTCTGGAATAATTGATGTTTTTTACTGTTTGTTTCTGCTGGCAGTGGAGTGGAAATCATGCAAAGTGCTCTTTCAATCTAGAACTAAATGACAACATTTTCAAAGCACACTGTATAATAGCATTTTCTTCTATGGGCAAGCATCCTTGCTTCTCCTTTTAATTTTTAATACTTAATCAGATCATGGTTTCCTAACTGAATAAAACTCCCTCATTTTCAGAAAAGGTTGAGTTGCTTGGTAAAGTTTTTCTTGGAAGATGTGGATGGTAATGATGCAGTGTAATATGAGAGTAAGAAATTCCTTTAGCTTTAAAAAGTGGTATTGTGAGTGCACATTAAATGATCAGAAGGCCCAGACTCCAACTCTTTCAAGCCCTGTGTATCAGACAGACTCGTAACAGGTTCATGCACAACTGGTTAGCTGGAGCTGATGTGGACAGTGATTTGCACAGATCCAGCTTCACTGATAATCAAGGTTCAGGGGTTGGCGTGGAAAGGAAGGTGTACTCCTCTCCAGCTGCCTCCTCCCATCCCTCAGTCACACCAGGCTGAGCCCTGCAAAGTTACTGGGAGAGGGCTCACTGTAAAGGTAACAAAAAGGGTTTACTTTCAGAGTGAAATGTGCACATTAATGAAGAGTGAAAATGTGGGAACCTATTGAATGCTTAAGAGTACTATGACTTTTTGGCAACACTGGATGTGTTTGATGATGGTGTAATAATGGGAAATGTGTGTTCAGATTTGCAAAGGAGTTCTGGAAAACCTTGCTGTATATTCCATAATCGTTGGTCAGAAATAACTTAATTTAGGGAACTCTGAAAACCATCCCTAAATTTATGCATGTTCTTAATTCTCACTGATTTTCAGAAGTACTTACAAAAATCAAACCCAAGGAAAGAATGCATGAAGTCCTTACTGCTAGCTGGGTTTTTTTTTTGCTTGTGTGAGCCAAGAAATTTTTTCAATAAATGCTTAACACAGAAAAAGCTACAAGCATTTTTAGTCTTTTGTTGGGGTTTTTTTGAGTGTTTTTTAGGTTCCTTCCTCTGCTCACAGTTCTAAAGGATCATAAAGGCTTTAAAAGAAAACTGCAGAGGTGTTTTTTATTATTGTGACAAAGCAGTTTTCTCATCAATTACAAAAATTACATCGTTTCAACCATTATGTATTGCTTTGGCTGGTTTTACCTCCTTCGTGTCAAAATATATAGTTTGCTTCAGCATAGAGAAGAATACAGTAGATTTGAGTATGTCTGGATAAATTATGGTGCATTTGTCTTTATGTATGTGTGTATGTGTTGAGAGTCTATGTAGATACAGTAAAAGTGTTACCAAATAAACCAGCCTGTGATAATGTGTCCTGTAACAATTGGTTTACATCAAAAACAGGGCAAAATGCACTTGTAAAATGCATTAAAATACTTAGAAAATGTCATCTTCCATTATGCTCTGTTTAAGCAATTATGCTGCTCACTGTAATTGATCATTTTAAGCAGTTACAGGGTACAATATTATTTGTGCCCTAGGTAGGAATTCGCAAGAAATGATGTATTTCTAGGCCAAAGACGTTTACTCACAAATTAATTTTAGGATCTGAGCACAAAAATCTAGAGGTTCTGGGCACCCAGTAGGCATGAAGGGTCCTTGTCTTCTCATATCAATGACTTTGTTGAAGCAGGATGTGGGCCTCTAAGTAAGGTTTTTGCAGCCTCAGTTTCTATTAGAAAATTTCAGCTATGGAATAAGGACCTATGGGGAGAAGTAAAAGGTTTCTTTGTACTTTAACTTCCTACAAATTTTATGACTGAATCCTATGAAACAGGTTTTCCATGGGAGCAAAAAAATGTATCTGTTTTTAAGTTTTCTTTCCTTCTATTTCTCCTTTTAATAATTGAAAACTACTGTTCATTATTTACATAAAACTGTCTCACTTGAGCCTGCTTTCCATAACCTTTTCCCTCGTAAGAATTCTAGGAATTTGCTGGCTTTCCTCAAGGGGATCTTGGCTATGTTTTATCTGTGACTTTAGGCCAGATAGTTGGTAATTTCTACAAAGTAACGTACTATGTTTAAATTGCATTTGCCTCTGCCTAGATTTCCCAGTTGAGCACATTTCAAGAGGTAATGTACGTAGAAGAATATGCATTTTAATTCAGTGTTCAGTCTTCTTGGTAACTGGCAGTAAATCTCCACGTGTAAAATGAAAAGCACGTTGGAAAAAAATACTAATAATAATACGAATAATGCAAACCCCTAAATGCCCGGAAGCCAAGTATTTCAGCTGGTTTTCTAAGACTTTGCCACTTACTAGTTTCCCTTTTTGACTCCTGACTTGCTCTTTTTTTTTTTTTTCTTTTTTTTAAAAATGAGGACGTGTCAGAACCGAAGGCCTCAAGCCCGGTATAAAGTGACCCCAGCACAAACCTCCAGCATTCCTCATCTTTCCCTCTCTCCAGCTGCTAACATCAGCCAAGGCAGCACGCAGGCTTGGCTGCCGCCAGCTCCCTGGCTCTCCCCCTCCCTCCTCCCTTCCCGGCCTTCCCCACTTGCCAGTACAGTCAGCACTGCTTCATACTAGGCACTGGTGCAATTATTTGAGATTTCGAGTACAAGAGCTGTTGTTGTGTCCCTTCAGCTGGTATCAGCTACTAGAGGGCAAGGTGTGGGAAGGAAGGAAGGGGCATTCTTCAAAGTGTACAGCTTTTTCTCTCGGGTGAATTGCTCTGCAGACGTTTTGTCTGAAGTATTCATATAGAAATGATTTGAAAGTCACCTGAAGAATTTTAGATGGAATCATATATCCTAGAGAGGCGCCCCAATGATGGTGTCTCACAGATTCATTTTCTAACTCGTTCTTTCATGTCCATCTACCACAGGACATTTCAAAGATGGTTTGGCTGCCACTGAGACCTGGAGATCTGATGCCACAATGAGGACTCACACACGGGGAGCCCCAAGTGTGTTTTTCATACACGCGGTTTGCTTCGCCTTTGCCTGCGGCGCCAGGGAGGAGCGAGACACGATGGTTCCTTTTGTCAATGCCAACTATGACAGCTACCCCATGCTCTACTTCTCCAAGGGGGACGTGGAGGCTCTGCGGCTGCAGGCCAGCACCACGCACCAGCACATTGCGGCTCGTCTGATTGAAGCAGTGCAAACCATGCTGTCCAACCCCCTGGAGTACCTTCCTCCCTGGGACCCAAAGGAGTTCAGCGCTCGCTGGAATGAAATTTACGGCAACAACCTTGGGGCCCTGGCAATGTTCTGTGTGCTCTTCCCTGAAAACATGGAGGCCATCAATATGGCCAAGGATTACATGGAGAGGATGGCGGCTCAGCCTAGTTGGTAGATTTTTGTCTTTTTTTTTTTTTTAAGTTGTTCTTACTGTATAAGCTGCTTACAGTTGGAGGAGTGAGTGGATGAGTGAATTGCTTAAATTATGTCAGTTGTACTAATACTCATTTTAACAGTGACTAACTTGCTGAATGCATTTACCCTCATCTGGACCAGCAGTGACACACAGCTTTTCACCTTCATTGGACTTATCTTCTTGAAAGTTGATGTTGAGATGAGTATGATCCTTTGTGTACCACCCTGTTTGCTGTAAAAAAAAAAAAAAGTAATCCAGACCCACTTTCAATCAGAAGGAAGAGTTTCACATCTGGTTTGTGGCCAGAAGTGCTAAATACTTACTTTTCCCCCCCCCCCCAGATTCTTACATATCTTTTAGGTAATTAATTCTTCCTTGGGAAGAATTTAGGAAGGGGAGGGCCTATGAAAAAGGTGTAATTAGGTGTAGGTAAAAATTATACTCTTGGGCTTCTACAGTCTGTTTGAGCATGTGTCTGAGCTGTAGTTCAGACTGGTAGCTTCATTTGGCTGCGTGATTCTTGGACTGCTCCTTAAGACATACTAGGACACGACAGTTGTCCATCTGATTACTGGAACTGCCCGAGTAACTGGTGTTTTGATGACCACCTCCTGGATTAACTTCCTCTGGATGTGAGTTGTCATCCCTACAGATTACTCTGTCTTCTCTGTACCACACTCTTTCTGGGGGACAGAAGTTATTGTTCTCATTGTAGGAGAGATTCTAGAGTTGAGACCCCAAGGTCTCCTTTTCATACCCACCTGCAGTTTATGTCCTCTTTTTGCTCAGGTAGATGCATTTCCTGCACCTCCCTGCAGCAGCTGCCACATGGTACACCTTGCAGACTAGGTTCCAGGATTGCTATCACTGTGAATAGGTCAGAGGACAGGAACGTGGGCTTTTCCAGGACAGAGGCATCTGCCCAGACAGCGAGATGGAGCAGGATGGGGTACTGCTCCCTGCTGTGGTAGCTGCTCTTCTACAGCTATGTGGTGACAGCAGCTCTGCAGAAGTGTGAGTCAAGATTCAAGTCAGCATAGGAAGAGAAGCATTAAGTATTCAAGCAGTATTCATTGCTCAAACTACTAATCCTTACCTTCTAGTAACCATCTATAAATGTTATCCTTCCGTGGGCCCTCACTGGAATTATGTTGGATTTGAGCTAGCATAGCTTGGGATCTATATCCTCCTGATGGACATGAGTGAAAAGGCATGATAGTGTTTGGGTTCCCTTGCACTAAGTGTTAAAGTGGTGAATGCCACAGGAATACATGAGCTAGAGCAAAAGAAGTGATGGGAGACAGAAGGGATGCGCTGGCCGTATATTGCCTGCATGTCACAGAAGAGAGGACATGTGAGATTTAGGAAGAACATATTGTCTCAGCAGCAGTGGGAATTTCCAAAATCTTCCACTGAAGCATAGCAATACAAAGCTTCAGTCTCAGCTCTGGAGACACTGTGTGTTTCTCCTGGCACACTGACAGAGGGCTATAGCTTACAGAGGTGAATCCGAGGATGTGTGACCATCTCCAACAGGAGACAGACTGCTCCAAAGTCAACACCTTCCTCCTTAGTTTCATTGTTCACACTCTTTCTTAACTTGTTTTGGGTAGGGTATAGTTACATGGCCATTTGTTTTAATGAAATAAGAAAGAGGGGAAAGCATTACTTTGAGTAGGATAACTTGTTTGCATCTGGCTTTTTTTCAGTTTCCTACATGTCACTCTCTGTCTCAAAGTTATTTAATTTCCTTATGTCCTGTGATTTCTGACCTGGATTAATTGTGGTTATTCTGTCCCTTGTTATAATGCTCTCCTTTGTCCCAGCTGACCAGATACCAATCAGAACCAAGCAGATATCCCATTTCCACTTGGCTTTGACGTTGTTTACTGCCTCCAGCTACTGTTTTTTTCTCAAGCAAGTATCTTGCATTACCTTGGTGAAAGAGAACCCATACTTTCGCCATTTTTCCCCTCTGATGTAGACATCCCATTCAGAAATCAGTCAAGGTTTAATCAGGGTTCTCTGCTTTGCAAAAGAAGTGGCTGCAATGTGCTTAGCAGTAGTGGAAGTGCAGGAGGAAATTGTAAACATAGGCAGTAGAGCTGGGCTAAGCTGCCCTTTGTATAACCTCCAGCTGGCCAGCCCTTCAAATGCTGTGGCAGAAACATGGATCTGGTTTCCATTTTTCTTTCCCCCCTGAGAACTTATGTCTGAATGCTGTCAGCATGGAGTTTATGCTATAGCCCCATCAGTGGTGGCAATAATATAGATCTGTCTCCCTCGTCCAACAGCGGTCTTCAGAAAAGTAGGAATGTGACATCTCTGAGGCATGTACTGCACTGTCTGGCTTTGCTCAAATAGGCTGAGTTCAGAGGCTGAAGGACTGGGCAGATAGATTATGTAAATCTGCTTTTCCTAAGAAAGTCAACTTAAAAGTACCAGAATATGTTACTGCATGCACTTCTCCACTTAGGATAAGACTAGGAGAATAAACATGATAAATACAAGTTGTGGCTGTTATGTGAGCTGTTCTGGCAGTGTCACAGTGGTGGAATTTTTTGTCCAGTCTATCTAGGCATGTTTGATTTTCCTCAGTATTTTCCTTTGGGAAAACATCATTCTGGATGATACAAAATGATTATTGTCCTTATTAAATAATTTGAGGGCACGCGTGCTCTGATCAGGAGGGTGGAAAGAAGGAGCAGTCTTGATGTTGCCTGCCCTTGGCACCTTGCATGTTAGAAGAGTGATCTGCCACAACTATTTATTTCATCAGGAAAGAGTGTTTTTCCAAAGAGGTATCAGTAAGGCAAGTAAAACAGGCCTCTCCTTAGACCTCCTCAGTAACGTAGGTACCAAGACTGACATATAAATTTTCTGGAAAAATATATTTCTTATCATTGACAGATTCATCAACATGTTGGAAAGTTAAATCTGGCATTGACAGCTTAGTTCTTTCAGCGGTGTTATATGGATTTCTTTCGACTTCTGCTGTCATGGCATTGACTCTAAAATAGCTTTAGAATTTATAAAAAAAATTAAATCATCTTAATGAGTTTCCTCTAGTTTTTGTGACAATGTTAAGTGAAATTTAAGCCTCACCAGAAAACAAAAGTGTATGTTTTTAGCATGTGCAGTAGTTGAATAAAAGAAATATGGTTTAAAATGTTGCTGGTTATTTGTTTCAGAATGCTAGGAGATTAAGGAGACTGACATTTTAAATTTCTTCTTTACATTAGTGGAATCCTCAGTAGTCCAAATATCATTCAATATCCCAGGATACAATTATGAGAAAGTCTACTGGTAATTGATATATACATGGAAGGGGCATGTAATTAAGAACTCTGGTCCTTTCTCATCTATTAAAATAGTCATTTTATGTCACATAATAAAGTACTTCCATAACTGAGTTCCCATTTGTGTCAACTAACAGAGGCTGAGCCGTTTGTCATAACAACCCATGCTGATAGGCATGCTGCTCATTAGCAGAGCATCCCTAATGGCTACATCCTGGAGTAGGTTTACATTTTAAAATAAACACAGGGGCACTGGGTAACAGCTAACTATAACAATCACCCAAAATGATATGGGAACAACACTGTTGTGGAGACTAGCAACAGCAAACAAATGTGCATTAATGGTTTTGCCTGTAAAAAAATTAAAAGCTGGTATTAAATAAACCCCTTGGTTTTCCACGGCTTGGATATCCAGGTACTGTCTAAAATCTTATGGGAAGTTTGTCCTTATATTTGAGTCGTATTACCTTTTTTAAGAGGGAACAGAGGATATTGATGTGTTTTCTGGCATTTTATCTGACTGGCCCCTAGAGCACTCCCCACCAGAAGGGCGTTTTGGCCGAGGAGATCTGTGCTCGTGATTCTTTCCATATGCCTCTGGCTCGTCCTGTTCTGTGCTGAGCAGAATGATGTAATCAGAGTCACACATTGTACAGGAGTAACAGTTCAATCAGATTCTCTGTTTTGGACCAAGCAGTAAAAAACTCTTTCTTTACTAAGCCCACCTTACAAACAAATGCCTTGGGAGTTCACAAATTCTGTACCCTTCTTGTAGCAAGAGAGATGTTCTGATTTGCAATGGCCAGAAAGAGATGTTTGTGGGTTTGTTTTGGGGTTTTTTGCGCATAGTTGATGTCCCATTTTTAAAGACAAGTATGTTACCAATGTGCAGTAAGGTGTGGGATTTAACAGTGGCTCTGTGGGTTTCATGGGGCAGATAATTACTGTCAAGCACATGCAGACATTCCAGAGAAATAGCAGCAACTAAGGAGAAGCTAACAGGAGGCTTTGGCATAACAAATCTGTGACCTTTCTGCTGCTTTCTCATAAACTAGCAAACATGCAGCCTCCTGTTAGTCACTGTTTATTAAAAAGTATTGGAGCATCCTATAGGACCCTTGCTGTTAGTATACAGATAGTGTCAGATGTTGAACAATACAGATTACAAGGTAAAAATAGATATGTGCAAATAATTAACTATGTGGATAATCATTTAACTAAAATAAATTAATATATGCAAAGTTTAAAATAAAGCAAGTCTCTGTGCTGACACCAGCAATCACATTCAAATAAAATTTAGGGGGGCTTTATAAGACTGTGGAATAAAAGTTAGTATAAAAGAAGTTTGAAGGGTGCTGATACACTGTCTCCTACAGAGAAGAAGAAAAAGAAAAGGAAGGGTAGGAAGATGAATTTGATATCTGGAATATATGTTATGTTAGTAAGTGAAATATCAAACCCTTATGCTGTTTTTATCTTCTACATATGTAGTGTTTAAAAATAGAAATCGTGCATGTCTATGAAATTAAATGGCTGGCTGGATTTCGGAGAGCTTCTTTAATACCTAAATTGATATAGAAGATAAATTGGTGCTGACATTCTGTGGTAGCTACAGGGAGCTCCTTTTGTGGCATGACTGGTATAAAAATTTCCTAAAACAAGAGCTAGAGGCAATCTCCTAAAATAATAACATAGTTAAATTTCTGTGTCTGCTTAATATGACACTGAGAGAACAACTAAAACAGAGTCAATTCTAGTTTATTAATGTGTCAACACAGAAGCATCATAAAAGCAATCCCTGTGTGAGAAGCACTCTCTTGTGATCAAAGCCAAAAATGAGAGATCTGAAAAAAGCTTTAGAAGGATCAGAATGATGATCATAGACCTATGAGGAAACAGAGGGAAAGAGGTTAAGAAGTAGATTAAGAATTCTAAGAAACTGAAGTTTTACTTTCCTCCCCATAGCACCTAAGCAGTACGACTCTATTTTTATAGTAAGCTCTTAAAATGTCTGTCTGTATGTTGCCTTTTTTTTCCCATACTAATGTGACTGTAGTTACATTTAGCCACTCCTTTGCCTTTCTTCATGCCAACTGAGCCGCAGTGAACACAAGCATGTGAGATTGGCCGCTGCTGAAACATGACTGGTAAAGAGAGAGGGGTAAATCTGTTTTACCTTAGAGAACAGAAACATAAATAATCAGTTTTTCATATTCAAATAATTTTTCAAGTATGTTTTTTATTTTTAATTTTTTTTGTTGTTGCTAAGGACCAAGCACTAAGGTTGGGCAGATAATGGGGATTTTGCATTGGCGGCCAACCAGAAAAATCTGAGAAAGGTAAAAGATGAGAATTTTGGTTTTTTTCAATCTTCTTTTTTCTTCCCAAAATGACAATTGTAGAATATTGCTCCATTTATTAAGAAAATATTCTACTTGAGCACAAAAAAATACCTTGTTTTGGAGACTTCATAAGAAAAATGTTTAAGATTTGGTCTGGTTTATAAAATGAATGTTGGTGGTCTCATTCCCCTTGGAAGATGTTCTCCCTCTTCATATGTATGCTTTGTCTAGCTATGGAAGAATATTTCTCTTTCTTGCCTGGTGGGAGGTTTAAAGCTGTATCTCCTTCCCTCAGCAGTGGGTCAGGACAATAGCAAGAGTGCCAAGGTAGTGCCCTTGGCATTGGGAAGATTGTACAATTGCACAAGCAATCAAGAGGTCAGTTGGCCCCGTTGCATGTCTCATTTGCATCCACACTTGATATTCAGTGTGCATTAAACTCAACTGTGAGTTGGGTAGCCAGCTGGCTACCATATCTGAGGTAGATGGCATCAAAATGCACTGCAGGGCTCTCTTAGAACTGATTTTCACCTCTAAGCCATTAGAAAAGAGTTCTCACTCATTTCCTTTGCATGCACCTGGTAAGATTGAGAATTTCAGTACTGAGGAGCAAGTACTGACATCTTTCCTTTAATCTCTTCCTCCAGGAGTTATTCTGCAGTAATTTGTCATGGGAAAGTTTGGAGCATTAAAATTCAGGATGTGGATTACTTGTGTAATGCATGTGTCAGGGTGTGCTTAATTGTTCATTTTGCATGCACTATTACCATGTTAGTTGTTGAGCTAGAGGCCAAAAATCAGTTCTCACACTGCTTGGAAGGGTATTCTATATCCCAGATTAAAGAGTGTTATTTTCCTATATGCTTCAATTTGATTTTAAGACCTGAATATACAGTGAAGGAAAGATGACTCTAAATATCTCACAGGTCATGATCAAAGGACTCACTTGAGCAGCAGAGTTTGATTTAAATCCTGCATTGAACTGCCAGATAGTGTTTTTTCCCTCTTGGCTTGTATTTCTGAGAGAAATGCTAATAGAATCTTAGAAGTGTTTGGGTTTGAAGGGACATTGAAGACCCTCCAGTTCCAAAACCCCTTCACTGGGCAGGGACAACTTGGACTAGACAAGGTTGCTGAAAGCCCTGTCCAGCCAGGCCTTGAACACTTCCAGGTTTGGGGCATCCACAACTTCTCTGGGCAACCTGTACCAGTGCCTAACCACCCTCACAGTCAAGAGTTTCTTCATAATCCTTCATCTCCTTTAGTTTATTCCCCCATGTCTTACCATTACCTGCCCATGCAAAAAACCTCTTTTTTATATGTCCCCCTTTAGGTACCAGAAGGTTTCTGCAAGGTCTCCCTGGATACTTTTCCAGGCTGAAAAACCCCATCTCTCTCAACCTATCTGCATAGGAGAGGTGCTCCAGCCATCTGAGTATCATTCTGGCTTCCTCTGGGCTCGCTCCAACAGATCGATATCCTTCTTATGCTGAGGAGCCCAGAGCAGTTTGCAGCACTCCAGGTGGAGTCTCAGCAGGGTGGAGTGGAGGAGCAGAATCCCCTCCCTCACCGTGGTGGCCACTCAGCTTTGGATGAGCCCAGAAAAACTGGCATCCTGGGCTGCAGGTGCACATCACTGGGTCATGGCCAGCTTTTCATCCACCTGAACCCCAAAATCCACCTCTGCAGGGCTGTTCTCAGTGAATTCTTCTCCCAGTCTGTATTCATGTTTGGGACTGCCCCAACCCAGGTGACCCTGCTTTCAGTAAGGAAGAAGTTATTTGGTAGTGAATAGTGAGAAATTACAGAAACACGTTTGTAGACATGATTTCTGAACCTGAGAGAATTTCAAGCTCTCAGGGGCTGATTGTTCCCAAGGGAAGGTTTTTTGAGAACTGTTAGCTCTCAAGGACTGTTGTGTAAAAACAAGGCTTGGTTTCCCAAAACAAGACACAGATGTTCTGAGAGTGTTTTGTCTCTTGTCCCACCAATGGGATGAGGGAGGTGTTGTTCCTTCTACCAGTCAAGATAACCTGGGTCAGGTTATAAAAGGGTTGAGAAGACCCTGAAATAAAGGCTTTTTGCCTCATGAAAACCTGTAGTTGCGGTGCGTAATATTCAGAACCCTCGCTATACCTCGTGTCCTCTAGCAGCGCATGTTTCTGCTGAGAGAAGAGGAAGTAGCATCAGGAGTGGGTTCAAGAAAACTGAGAGGTTGAAGTGATCTTGGCTTTGTTGGTGCTGGTGAATTTATTTTCCATCCAAAATTTTATGCAAAGGGTATACTTATTTAGAAGTTGGAATTGCATTTAATGAAGGTGCTGTGTATACCTAGAACAAATGCGGTGCATGCGTGATGGTTCTTGGTGTTGTCAATTGATCACTGGAAAACAGGGTCTTAATCCCCCTCTTCATATTCATTGTTCACTGTAGAAGGTGGCAAATCTAAAACAGATAAACCACATTGCACCATGCTAAAATTCTCAACACATGTAGGAAAACCATACTGCTTATCCATAATCCCAGCCTTATCCATGATCTCTTTATTTCTCCAGTTCCTTCATGGAGGATTTATATTAAACTCTAAATGTTTAAAATAAAGTAGCAAAAATATTTTATAGGACACAGATGAACAAAACTTTAAAGAACACCCCAGGCATGTCTTTATCCTGTGCCATTCACAGGGTTTGTCCAGACAGCAGTTTTTTATGCAGAACAATGAGTATGGCTTTGGATATTTATGGAGTGTGATAATGAGTTAGCAAACCTGTTCAGCACTTTTTGCTCTTTCATAGCCTCCTCAAGTTTCCAGATAGGCACCTCTTCCAAATATACCTATTCTGACAGGTACAGGTATATATGTGTAAAAAGGTACTGTAGGGGTGCCTTTATGTTTTAGAATTTAAAATGTATTTTAGAATTTTTGGAACAGTTGCCTTTGCTCAAAGATATGTCTGCAACTCAGCAGTTGTTCTATGTTAAAGAACCCATTATAGATATTTTTATTTACTTTGGATTCGTTTGTTTGTTTGCTTTTGTAAAATCAGATGCCTTTAGAGGCTGACAAGGCTAGTGCAGCCTTGAGGCAGAGGTTACTTGCTGTCGTCAGACACAGTTAATCGTGAAACTGAGGCTCATACTCTGATGTTGCATTTCAGTCTTGAGTGGCTTAGAAAACAGCTTTTACAGGGCAAAGTGTTGGCGTGTTTTTACCTATCTTTGTATAAATACATACCACTTTTCTTTGTAGTTAATAGCCCTGAAAACATTTTTTTTCACATATGTTCAGTGCATGCCTGTGGCTCTGTGCTTTCCCTCGGTTTATCAGCCAGACTGTTTACCTAGCCTGACGCTGGGAGATGCATTTGAAAAGTGAGAACATAATTTAGATATAAAAACCATGTAATGCTTGCTACTTGACCATTCTTCTTTTGAATCATTTTCCACATGTTTGGTGTACATTGCTTGGTTCCCTTGAAACTAAGTCAACTAAGTTAAGTTGACTTATAGCAACAAAAGAGTTGTTTCTTCTGGAGTTTCACCTTAAGAACTGATGTTGACTGTGGGTTTGTGTGCTTAGAAATTAAGATCTTTAAATCATCATCTTTAATTTTCTCTATTATTCCTTGTATGTATCTCCTTTGTGAAATTTTATACAAGATTCAACTGTACAGAAGTGCAATTTGAGGGGAGTTATGACAAAATTGCTTGTCTAACCCAAGCTGGGTAATTGTCAGTATGTATGATAAGGGTGCCCAACATAAGGGGTTTTACACTGAAAGGCTGTAGGGTTTGTTTTGTTTTTGTTTGGTTTTCTTTCCTGAGGAGATCTCGAGCCTAAATGCAGTTATAACCTCTCAGTTTATCTCCTCCCATGTAGAAGACTAGTTTCTATTTTGTCAGAAGCAGTGCCATGGAGACTATTATATGCTCTTACACTGTAGAATTTGATGTAGTATTCTGTTAGAAACTAAACATAAACTTAGCATATACCTTAAGAGTGAAACTTACAAGAAATCAGTTCCACTGGCAAATCCCATTTTAAATTAAGTCAGGTAAAGATCAGGTTTAAACAGAATCTAATTAGTAGCTTGTGTGTTGTTAAAATGTTTCTAAACTTTGAATTAAATATTTTTAATTTAGTTCAAATTCTTTCATTGTACATTTCTTCTACCCTAATGTATAGCTTGGCCTCAAACTCTTTGTAATTGTTCCAAGCAGATGCCTTTAGAGTAAAATTTCCTGTACCTATTTGAACTCTGATTTCTGAATATGCAGAGGTTTAGTGAAACTAAAAATACTTTGGAAATTAGAATTCATTATACAGCTGATCAAAGGAATTTTTCCTGTGTCAAAGGATTCCTGACAGGAATCATGGTGCCAGACTCTTGCATATAATTGGCAGAGAATGGAACTTTAGTTTTATGTATAGGATCAAGAGCATTTTAAGAGCTTTTTCAATTATAAGAAAAGCAGAAATGGAGAATTAATTGAAATTGACAAATAACTAGATAACTCAGATTGATGTATTTCATTTAAATCTCTGAGACAAATATTTCACTTAAGTATTCCATTTAAAAAAAGGAAAAAAGAATGTTTAACTTCACTGCAAGCAGAAGATGGGATCAAAGCTGAGAAACAGTGAACAGTTAAAACTGTTGGAAATTCAGCTGATCAAAAGGCGTACAGAGAGTTTCCTTACATGGGAGTATGAATGTGCCAAACTTGAGTCCTTCTTATGATTTAAATATGCTCAAATAAAAATTAAAGGTCTTTTTTTTTTTCACTTGCTTGTCTTTTACCATCATTGCAGTGCTTAGGCTGATGGTTGTAATTTCTACATGTATTTTTAATGCATTTGGAATGCCAATAAATGCTTCTGTAGCAGAATTTTTTTGGTTTTAATTTACTCTTTGGGGATTTTTTTTCCTCATGCTGATGCTTACACAAATGAAGATGAAATCATATTTATAGAGTCATTGAGTAGTTGAAACTGGAATGCGTGTGCCTTCAGGAGCATTCACCATTCTGCCGATTGCAGTAGGACACTCATCTCAACAATTTAAATTCATTTCTGTAATAAAAAATAGATTGCAAAAAAAAAGTGAAGGAGAAGAACAAGCATGAAAGCAACTGATGATTTTTCAGTTTATAAAAGTTTATTTTCACTATGTATTCCTTCACATTTTCATTTCTGTACAACCATGGCCTGGAAGTACTGTAAGTACTGCAAAACTAAAGTCTTGATAAAAATTTACTATTTTGCTAAGTTCAGTGTAATCATTGGACACAAGCCTGTAGTTCCTAGAAAATAATTTTTGAGTATTGACAACATTTTACCTCTTTACTGTCTTAGCATTAAAAAACCCCAGTGTTTATTAAGAATGTTAATTCAAGCTGTAGTAAAACTAAGTTTCCTTTTCTCTACTTCTGTCCTTGAATGCATTTGGGACATGAGAAAACAGTATAGTGATTTGGTTTTTTATACTTACTTTGAAGACAATTTTGGTCTCATAGGCACCATTTATCATCAACTGACTCCTTTGGAAAAGAAAAAAGATTTGTTGCAGGAGGTTGGAGGAGTATTAACCACGGCATACTACTTTATCACAAAAATGACATGAATCTTTCTTCAGATAAATAGATTAGATTTCTGTACAATCACTATTCTGCCTGTCTTTCTCCTAGCAAAACCCAGAATATTTCAAACATTTTTTCTAATATTTAGCAACTTAATCTTTCTAATAAAGTTTATGAGCTTTGAAGATTAATGTTGTCCATGCTTAGGGTAGGAAAAAATATTTTAGAGACTTGGTAAGTATCTTACTACTGTGTTAAAATTCAACATGAATCATCTAACTTTGGAGACCTTAAGTCAAATGCTTATCACAGTGCAGTAAGGGGGAAAACGAAGTAGGTGAAACTCAATTAATTGCCATCTTCATTTATTGACAGGCTAGTGAAGGATGCCCCCTGGGATGAAGTCCCTCTTGCTCACTCCTTGGTTGGTTTTGCCACTGCTTATGACTTCTTGTACAGCTACCTTAGCAAGATTCAACAGGAGAGATTTCTTGAAGTGATTGCCAATGCCTCAGGATATATGTACGAAACATCATACAGACGTGGATGGGGTTTCCAGTACCTTCACAACCACCAGCCTACCAACTGTGTGGCCCTGCTGGCTGGAAGCCTGGTTCTGATGAATCAAGGTATGTGCTAAGCCATAGGAATGTTTTTTTCTGAAGTATATCAACTCAAATCGGCCACTTATGCAGCAAAGTTCAGGATTTGATAAAAATGTTTCTTATTGTACTGCAGTATTGGATTTGCTCTTTTGCTGCTTGGTAAAATTTAATTTACTGAATAGAACAAAAGTCTGTGGGTAGATATACAAGGCATTTTATATATATATATATATATATATATATATATATGTTCAGTTTTCTAAGTGGCTCTGAAATTCTTACCTGATGGTCTGTAAGAGTTAAAAATCCCATTGTGTACTGTGTCCAGTCCTGATTCATGGACAGTGTCTTTCAAAGTAGATTATCAATGTAGAATGATGCACTTGCGCTCCTTACACAAAGCATTATGAAAGTCAGTCAGAAACACCCAGTGCTCTGACCTGGGAGCCAGGCAACAGGATAACCTGGAATTTAATCCAAGACTTCTGTCCTGTCACCTGGTTGAGCAGCGAAAGTGTAACTTTATCCACCCAAGTGCCACAGCTTAGGACCTTTCTTCCCAAAAGCCTTTTCTATGGAGATACCCAAGGCTGTACTTTTTTTCCCTCTGAACTCTGCCATTGCACTCCACAACCAATATTTCTGCCAGGTTTCCTCTTCTTCTTTGCTTTGGGAACATAGAACCATCCTTGTTATGCCCTGGCAAGTAGCTTTTCCCTGCTCTGTCAAGGGGCTATCTCTGTCCTCCTGGAGAATGCAAGTCACAGACTGAGAGAGAGAAAGCAGGTAAGGAAACCTGACTTTAAACCCCAGAGCTACTTCAGAGCTGAGAGATGGAAGTCGTGGAGCCAGCTCCTGCTTTTCATAGGAATGAATCAGTATTTCATCAGTTGATTATTTTATATGTGCTGGAAGTATTTTGAAGACATGATTCCCAATGGAATTACTTATGTACTGCAAGTCAATGAAAATCTAGTTTCTGGATGCTGGTGGTGTTGCCAAGCTGCTCAGCCCTGCCAAGCACAGGCACATCTGCACATCACTGGAGCTTTCAAGTGCCCAAAGAAGTGTGACAAAAAACTATGGCACCTACTGTGTTTGGAGGGTCATGTTTTTTTGCTAAGTGCCTGTCAAAACAAACACACTGACTGATGTGAATATGTTGAAAAGCACCAAGAGTGTGTGTGTAAGTTATTCCCTATCCTCCTGCCTTGCCTTCCACAAATTGAAGACTCAAGCCATGTTTATTCAGTGGGCTTGCTAAACTTCGTATAATTCCATCCTTCCCTAAGCCTTTGTTGGTGCAGAAAGCTGGCAGTTTGCAAGATGATTCTGCTTTTTATTAAGATATAGACCACAAGCTTGCCTTGTGAAAAACAATGAAAATATCACAAAGCTGGGCAATATTTTTTTCACTAAAGTGATGGTGTTTGGGGGGAGGAGGAAGGAAAGAAGCAGGAAACGAATGAATTCTTGAGGAATTTGAAAATAGGAGTAATATTTCAAATGAAAATAGGTCAAAACATACTATTTCTAAATTAACAACGTATTTCTAAATTAAAATTGTTGTTTTGATACCGAGCAACTATTTTTTTTAAAATATCAACTTAAATAAGGTTTTTTTGTTTGTCGAAAATTAAAACACAAACTAACTCCAATATGAAAGAAATTAATCTGAAGGAGGAAAAAAAAAAGGAGGGAGAAAAGGAATTAACATATTATGCTTCTGTATCAGATACATAGCAATTGCAAATAATATATCCCAGTGTAGACCTTTCTCAAAGAAGGTTTAAATTCCAACTAGTAAGTTTAAACATAATTCATCTATTGAAGCTTGTAGAGACTAAATAGCCAATTTAAAGGAATGTAAATTTTGCCATAGGAATGAAAATGAAACTAATTGAAGTTAAGTCTAGGCATGTGCATATGGCAAAGTCTTTGCTCTTAGACACCCAGATGTTCAAAATGAAAACTTGAGTAAGGCCTTGATATTAGTATAGACACATGGTTTATATACTGCTAAATTTAGGTGAGATTTGTTCTGGTTTGTCATGTAGCCTGACAGAGTGTTGAGTCTTGTAATATTTTCATTTTAATGTATTATTATTCTTTTAGTGCAGCGTTAGAGCTTAGATATACCCTAAGTAAACAGAACATTAATGCATTACAATGGTGAAGACCCTGTGCTGAACCATGGCAAATAACATTCTTGCAGCAGTCAAAAACTAGCTTCCCTTTTATGTCACAAAGGAAAACAGGAGTGGAAACGTTCAGGATTTTATTCTGACAGACCACTGTGCTGCCAACTCCATGAAGAGTAGTGAAAGAGTGTCTTAATAGCTGTGAGTGAAGTGGAAGTGAGTAGTACTACTGTCACTGTTGTTCAGGCCTTCCCCATCACAGTTTTCTTCAGCCAGGCGTTCAAAGTACTGTGTTAGACTCAGGTTGTCTGTTTTGCTTAGACACTTTTTTTTTTTTTGTCTCTATTAACTGAGCAGGATTTGGCAGCCTTGACTAGTAGGATGCCTGAATTACTCATCACTCTGCTGAGCATAAATAGAGTGTTGGTGGCAATGAGATGAAACACTCTGAGTAACAGGATTGAATGTAGTTTCTACCACCTTAGCCTGGCACATGTGCTTCATTCAGCAGGCGCTGCTTCTCCATGTAGTGGGGTGCAACATGTGCCAGCTGGGCTTTGCTATGGAGTGGAATTAAGTCTGATTAAATCTATGTCCAGACACTCTGAGCTGGGAGAACACTAAGTTGCCATGTAGAAGCACAAGGCAGTTGACCTCTGTTTAGTCCTACCTCTCTTGCTACTCAATCCAAAGGAAAATTAGAGAAGGCACGTAGCCTTTACTCCGCTGGGTTCCATGTGCTGACTTCTGCAATACATAAATGCCATGCTGAAGTCCTCATGCTTGTGCTTAGTGAAAGCAGACTGGCACTGAGAAAGTTTCTCGTGGCCTCTTCCCAGGTCTTGATTTGTGTAGAGCAGACCAAAATAGTAAAATCTCTGAAATATAGTAAATAGTAAATAGAAAAATAGTAAAATCTCTTTTCTTTAGAAAAACTAAAACTGCTTAGGGCTTGTAGATGTGGAGGCTGAGAATTTATCTACTTGGAAGATTAATTTTATTTTAGAATTGAGGAATCTACTTTTGGAATTACCCATGCAAAGATCTTCCAAAATAGTTTTGATTTGTATAACTCTTTAGGTTGTACAACAAGTTGAAAATGTACATAGGACAGAGCAGATCTTAAAATAGAGCATGAGTTAGTAGAGTGTCAGTTAACTGCAGCTCAAATGTGAACTTTTTTACTTGTTTAGTCTCTGTGGATCTCCTTACCATGCTGGTGATCCTGCCAGTGAAAAGCGACCGATCAGAATTGTTGCATTATTGGAGCCCTCTGGTGGAGACATTTCTTTGTCTTCATACACCTTTAATTTGAAATGCAGTAGTCTTGCTTTGGCTCTTCCCTCTTTTGCATGTCCTGAATGCATTAAGGAAATTTTCTTTTGGAGTTTTAAGGCATAGCCCCATACTATTAGCAGAATTAGTAAATAAATAAATAAAAAAAAATATTATTTATTTATTATATATTTATATATATAAATAAATAAAAATTAGCAAAATAAAAAAAAAATAGTGCTTGATAGATTTTCCCATGCTCGTGTGACTGTGTTTTGCTGTGTTTAAATACAATATTTTATTTTTCACCCTAGAAGTACAGGGATACTGCAGCAGTAGGTTGTATTATAGACCCCCTGCACTGCAGATTCCTTGCTGTGAAGGATCCCGCTGTGGGACTGCAGAGGGCACCATCTATGAACTGTTGTGTTTAATTACATTTGCCATTGTCTTTTCTTTCAGGCTACCTTCAGGAAGCTTACTTGTGGACCAAGCAAGTGTTGGCAATCATGGAGAAGTCAGTAGTCCTGCTGCAGGAGGTCACAGATGGCTCCCTCTACGAAGGGGTAGCTTATGGCAGCTACACAACCAGATCGCTATTTCAGTACATGTTTCTTGTCCAAAGGCATTTTGACATCAATCACTTCAGCCACCCCTGGCTCAAGCAGCACTTTGCATTTATGTACAGGACTGTCCTGCCAGGTAGGTCCTTTGGGTGAATGAATGAAGGTGAATCTCTTTATTTTGAGGCAGCAATAAGCTTCATACTTGAAATAGGCCATTTAAAAACAGCACTCTACTTGGGTTTTTTTAAAAATAACCATTTCCTTGGATTTTACCTTCAACAGTCATCAAAACAGTAACATCCTTGTTTATCACTGCTTATTAATGAGAGACACCTTCCACTAGCCCAGATTGCTCAAAGCCTCATCCAACCTAGCCTTGAACACTGCCAGGAGTGGAGCATCCACAACTTGTTCAAGTGTCTCACTGTCTCTACAGGGATGAATCTCTTCCATATATCTAAACTAGGTATACCCACTTTCAGTTTAAAGCTGTTACTCCTTGTGTTGTTTATTTGCAGGACACTTCATTAGAAACTTATATTGCTCAGATTCCAGGTTAAAAAAACATAGATAACTCTCTTGGAACCCCAGATATATCCATGTATGTCAGGGGGGCTGAATGCAGCTTTGGTATGCCAGCGCAGGCACATAAGGAATTGTGCTGACTCCAAGTGAAACCTCAGGCATCCTTTGGGGAGAGCATCCTTTCCTCTCATCCTTTCCTAAGAGCAAAATGAGCTCACACTGATGGTTTCAAGGTGAAGCTGATTATTTTGTTCTTCGGGGGCACCTCAGGTTTATTCCTTCAGAGAGTATAGATTCACATAAAAACTGGAAAGGGAAAGTTACCTTTTCCAGACTTGAGTGAGGAGAGGAGTGGATTGCATCTTACATTTTGTGTAGTGCTTTGGCTGTCTGTAGCCCAAAGCCAAAGAAGAAAGGTTCAAGTTAGCTGCAGCAGAAGGAAACCACTCCTATGTAACCTATTTACGGCTCATTTACAAGCAGGTCTAAAAACATCTGAAAAGGCTGCTTCTGTTTGCACCATTTGGCTTCAGCGTCACACTCTTCAAAAGCATCTTTGTGTGCTTATTTGTTCTTTCTGACATTCCTTTTCACTTTTCCCCAAGGGTTCCAGAGAACTGTGGCCATCGCGGATTCCAACTATAACTGGTTCTACGGGCCGGAGAGTCAGCTGGTGTTTCTCGACAAATTTGTTATGCGCAATGGCAGTGGGAACTGGCTGGCAGAGCAGATCAGAAGGAACCGAGTGGTGGAGGGCCCGGGCACGCCATCCAAAGGGCAGAGGTGGTGCACTCTCCACACTGAATTTCTCTGGTATGAAAGGGAATGAGTGGGCTCAAAAGGAACCTGGCAGCTGTTTGCCCTCAGTGATAATGCATTATCTTTAGATGTGCACCGTAGAGGCCGGGCTCAGGCTGTCCGTGTGCCACCCAAGGGCATGAGGCACAGAAGAACTTCTTCACTTATCACAGACACAGGGAACACCCTGGTCTTGTCCTACATCTGCTTTTATGGTTTCTTTCCACTCTCTATTGCTTTCATAGCATACAGGCCATTGCAAAGGAACTGAAAATTTTCTTGTGTGTTTAATTTGGTCTATTCTAATGGGGTTTAATCTTGTTGTGTTCTTTTATTATGTATTAGGTGAATATTTAAAGCATAGTTTTCATTCAAAAGTTCTGTAAAATAGTATAAACTCTCTTTTAAAAGCCAAATAATCCAAGCAGTAGGGCTAGTGTTGACAGGATTTGCACACTAATTTGCAAGTTATGCTTGGAAAAAATGCCATGCTACATGGCTAGATGGATATTTCTCCATGTAATTTACAGCTGTGCTAACTTCTATGTCAATCTTCTAAAAGTAAGAAAGTAAAAGACTCAAGAAGCTTTAGATCCACATATGAATTCCCTTAGTTTCTGGCAATAACAAGAATCTCTTTTGAACAGTCAGTAGAGCTCTCTCTTGCAAGAAAAATCCTTTTGAATATCTGTTGGTTTGCACTTATGATGTGCACATTAGAGTGAATGTTAGTTATGCTCCAAGCAGCCTTCATCTTGTTACTTGCAAAATACAGAATCGCTCCTCTACAGCCTCATCCTATCCTGTTTTCTCCTGTGTCTTCATGGAAATTTTGGGACTGTCTAGAGCCTGCCAGAAGCTCCTGGTTAGTTGTAAGAATAAATCTGATTCTGGAATCTTCTAACAGAAATGTTCATAGGCTTAGTGCGGTTTTGTTTATTTTGGTTGCTTAAAAACAATGCCAGAAGGTTAAGTTTTGGGTTGGATTTTTGTTGTTTTAACCCCCACAGATAAAATCATAGTAATTTTAACCTTTTCTGGAATTAAGGCTTCTTTTTAAACAAAATGTCTTCTTCTATCTTACAATTTATACAAGAAAAGACATGAAAATTTTTCTTCAGGCTAGTTTGGAGAAAGAAACTAACATACATTAACTGATACAAATAATAAACATTTATCCTTTAGGGTGCTTTTTCATTAATTTTTAATTTATTGCCTATCCTGTTTGAAGACAGACTTCTGTAATCATCATTTTGGGGAAACAGAAACTCTGCTTCTCTTTGTTAAGTAGTCAGTAAATAGGCACAAATGCTGATGTCTAAGCAGTGTCTACAGCCTGGTCTAATCTATGCTATAGTCAATAATTTTATGACTATATAGGACAGCACATGACTAGTTTGAAATTAGTGGTACTCTTATTTTTGAACTGCAGAAAGACTGCTTGCTTTAAATGCAGAGCAGATGCTTTCAGCTCTTGTTCTGTAAAAAGCACACAACAAATTTGTACAGGGATTAGTATATGAATAATAATTAAAGCTATATGGTTATGAAGGATAACTGTGGGCTTTATATTGTTGGCTTGCTCCTTGATGTAAATAGTGAATGGCTTTTTGAGTTTTGTACAAGTGCTGGTAGTGGAATCTGTCAAGTGATTTTTAACCCCACTTTTCTCATCTTTTTTTCAGGTATGATGCAAGTTTGCGTTCTGTACCTCCACCAGACTATGGGGTTCCTAAGCTGCATTATTTTGAGGACTGGGGAGTGGTAACTTATGGAAGTGCTTTGCCAGCTGAAATCAACAGGCCTTTCCTTTCCTTCAAGTCAGGAAAGCTAGGAGGACGTGCAATATATGATATTGTTCATAAGAACAAGTACAAAGAGTGGATCAAGGGGTGGAGGAACTTTAACGCTGGCCATGAACACCCAGACCAGAACTCCTTTACTTTCGCTCCCAATGGCGTACCATTTATAACAGAAGCTCTGTATGGGCCAAAATATACTTTTTTTAATAATGTGTTGATGTTTTCCCCTGCTGTGTCTAAGAGCTGCTTCTCCCCATGGGAAGGGCAGATTACAGAAGACTGTTCCTCAAAGTGGCTTAAATATAAACACGACTTGGCTGGCGACTGTCAGGGACGAGTGGTTGCCGCCATGGAGAGAAGCGGGGTGGTTTTTATCAGGGGAGAAGGAGTTGGTGCATACAATCCTAAATTGAAACTGAGAAAATTGCAACGGAACCTTATACTTCTCCATCCCCAGCTTCTCTTGCTAGTGGACCAAATCCACCTAGAAGATGACAGCCCTCTGGAGGCAGCGACCAGTTTCTTCCACAATGTGGATGTGCCTTTTGAAGAAACGGTTGTTGATGATGTCCATGGGGCCTTTATTAGGCACCGTGATGGGATATATAAGATGTACTGGATGGACGACACTGGCCACAGTGAGAAAGCCATCATTGCCTCGAGGATGTATCCCCGGGGCTACCCCTACAATGGAACAAACTACGTGAATGTAACGACCCTGCTGCGGCACCCCGTCACGAGGGCCATTTACCTTTTCATTGGGCCTTCTGTGGACGTGCAGAGCTTCACCGTGCGTGGTGATTCCCCGCAGCTGGATGTTTTTGTGACCACTGGTGAGCACACCTATGCCGTGTACCTGTGGCCCATCGAGGATGGCTCCCGCTCTGCCTTTGCACAGGTGATTGCAGACCGCCAGAAAATTGTCTTCGACCAAGCCTCTGCCATTAGGAGCTCCACAGTGCCAGAAGTGAAGGACTACATAGGGATCGTGGAGAGGAACCTGCAGCATTTTAAGCCTGTTTTCCAGCAGCTTGAGAAGCAGATCCTGTCTCGTGTACGCAACACGGCCAGCTTTAGGAAGACTGCTGAGCGCCTGCTGAGGTTCTCAGATAAGAGACAGACAGAGGAGGCCATTGACAGGATATTTGCAATCTCACAGAGGCAGCAGCAGCGTGGCAGAGCAAAGAAAAACAGAAAGGTAGCCAAAGGCTACAAATTCGTTGATGCCGTTCCTGACATTTTTGCACAAATTGAGGTAAATGAAAGAAAAGTGCGACAAAAGGCACAGACTCAAGCACAGAAAGAGCTGCCTGTAGACGAAGACGAGGAAATGAAAGATCTTCTGGATTTTGCAGATATCACTTATGTGAAGCACAAAACTGGGATGTCAA